AAAAAAAAAAAAAAATCGCGAGAGCTCACCCAGATTCCTCAGATATCTCCCGAGTCCTTCGACTTCGATCGTTACTGCGTTTCGCCTTTGCCCTTTCGATCGATATATATTTCAATGGCCGTAAAGTTTTGACGACCGATCGTTGCCTGAACGTCGTCGGATTTCAATTATCATTCCGATGAGCCGTAGTAGAAACAGGGTATGGTAATGTATGGAATCACGCCCCCAAAACAAAAAAAAAGGCCTTGGTGCGTAGAATTTCATTTAGGACATAAATCAAGAGAGACCAAGAAAGATAAGGTACCTCCGGGAGCGAAAGGAGCCTCCAGGATCCCCAGCTCCTTCCTCGTCCGCTGCTCGACGACGAATGGCGGATTGAGACATCCTTTCTCGGTTCTGAGGAGGTTGCGAGCTCCCGATTGGCCGAGATCCGCGAGAGCGCGGGATTTTTTGGGGGGGAGAAAAAAAAATTGTTTTTTTTTTTCAGTGTGATGCGAGAAGTCGCATTCAGTCCTTTGCTTCCAGTCGGTTCCATGAATTTTTCAACACGAAGCGAATTTAATCGCGAATAAAATCTTGATTCGCTTCTCAAGGATAATCCGATAAATTTCTCATGTAGTTTAATTATTCATACCGGATCCATCGGCAGAAGGTCAATGGATTCGCAGACGATTTTTTACTCTTGTTAAGTCTTGTTAAGTCTTAAGTCTTGTTAAGTGCAATTTTCTTTAAATCGCCAAAACGCGTTTCTCCGATTTCTCTCGCCGTTAACTCTTTCGTGCACAAAAATTTTCAGAGGAAAAAAATTGCAAGAATATTTGGCATAAATGAACACAATTGGCACAATCATGAAGAAATTCTCCTGCCATCTGTTGGCAGCGAGGAGCAACTGCGAGCAGCGGTAAACCGCCAACTTTTACCGCCATCTTTTGATGGCGGTAAAAGTTAATCCGCAACGGAGAAACAAGCTCGCTTCGGCGGATCGCAAAACCTTCGCGAAAAATTCAGCAATTTCTTGCAGCAAATTATACAAAACGCTTTTGGAGTTCCCGACGGCAGCAATAAAAAAAAACGACGAGAATGAATGAGTCGAGCCCATAAAACTCGTGTGTCGAAACCGGTTTAGTTGTTTTCGGTCGTTCTGGGACAGTGTTTCCCAACTCCCGACCGGTGCCGGTCTCCCGTTAGCATTTTTTACCGGTCTGCGAGACAACCGGTAAATTGAGATTTTGAAGAAGAAAATTACGCTGTTTGGACGAAATTCCAAATCGATCGATTTCCCCCTCCCCACGAAGTACCAATTCAGTACTTTCGGTACTCGCTCTCCTGAAAGCCTCATGCTAAGATGACGCACCTCATTTACTCGGGTAATTTACTCAAGTAATTTATTCAGGTAATTTACTCGAGTAATTTACTCAGGTAATTTACTCGAGTAATTTACTCAAGTAATTTACTCGAGTAATTTACTCGAGTAATTTACTCAAGTAATTTACTCGAGTAATTTACTCGAGTAATTTACTCAGGTAATTTACTCAAACGCGAACTTAACATTTAATGTCCGCTGCTTGCGGTCCACCGGCTGGTTTTCTTGCAAATTTCTCGTGCCAAATCGGCGGAGATATCTGCAACGAGGACGATGGCATCCGCGACACGGATCGGGTGCAACGGAACGTTCTGGAACCGTTCTGGAACTTTTTGGGCATCCTCGTTACGTACCGAACGCGTTTTACGATGAAGAATTATCATGCCTTCGAATGACATCCTGGTAATTTTTATTATTGGCTTATCGCCGGTGTCAAGCCGAGATGTGGGTCGCCGAAGAAGGCGGACGGTCGGCCCTTTGACGGTCCTCACTTTCGAGAGGATTCTTAAAGGATTAATTCTCCAACAATGCAGATAATGCGTTTTTGCACGAGATTTCGCGTTTTTGCACGAGATTCTCGAAGCGCTCTCGGGCGGGAATTCGCGGGATTCCGGACGCTACTGAACATCTTGGCATCATCGAAAGAAATCGTGAGGACCGATGAGGACCGGTGAGGACCGGTGAGGACGGTCCCGCAGATGAAGTTTCCTTCCAACTCGCCACGGAAGAAATGGAAAGTGAGAATGAACACACCTAAAATGAATAACGGTTATGTTAAACCCTGGACTCTCCGAGCCGCTGCAACTGCATTGGAGGCATCGAGCGGCACGAAGCCGGCCGATGCAACCTGTTGCGTAAAGCAACCGAGGATTGTTTTCGAGATCGGATGACCCGGCCGATGTTACGTAATATGTGTCGAACCCGAGACGTCCTAGCCTTGGGTTTCGGCGTGGGTCTTCCGTGTCAACAAAAATACGGGGCTCGACCGGGTCCGAAGCCCTCGTGCCGCCTTCGATTCCGTTCCCGAGCGAAGCCGGTACCGCGATGTCTTCGGTCCCGAGGCGGGAATCCCTTCGAGAATGATCCGGTTTTTTTTTTGGGAGCGATGCGTCGCGGACGCGAGGAAGAAATCGCAAGAGAACAGAATGCGGAAGGACCTGGGTGGTCCGATCCCGGTCCGATCATGGTCCGCTCCGAGTTCGCAGTGGAAGGGTTACTGGGTCTGCAGACTTCCGCGAGGGGATGCGGGGGAGGGGGAGGAGGTGTACGTGTCTTCTGCACGTTTACGGGGGATTCGGGCGTGAGGAAAACATCACGCACGATGACGGGAGAGAGCGAAGAGGACGCGACCGGCGGTCGAATGGCATTTCGGTCGGTGGGGGATGCACGGGATGCATGGGATGCACGGGAAGCATGGGATGCGTGGGGAAAGGGAGGGAGGGAGGGTGGATTTACTTAACCTGAGGTTTCATCGGGAGGGCTGCGATTGGCTGTTGCTAGCCGGGGACTCTCCCACCCCATTCGGGTTACAATCGTCGGGATGTCGGTGCGTGCGTGAGTGTGGATTTAAGATCGCCCTGCAGCCTCCTTTTTTTCTCTCTCTCCTTTTTCTTCTTTCTCGCTTCGGAGGTGTCTCTCCCGTGCGGCTTCCCTCGTCGCCATGGCTCTCAACGGGAATGTGCAGTTCGTCGACAAGAATCCGGCCAAATTTCGCATCGCCGTCGTGGGGGGTGGGCTGGTGAGGATTTTTTTTCCCACGACGGATTAGCTCGTGATCTGGCTTCGTCTCGTCCGGATATTATTAATTTTTTTTTTTTCGTCTAGGTTGGCGCGCTGAATGCCTGCATTTTTGCGAAAAGAGGACATCATGTCGATCTTTACGAACTCAGAGAAGGTAAGTCGCGTGTTTGCCCGAAAATGATACTTATCATAATTATACGAGAATCGTTCTCTGCTAATAAATTCCCTTTCGATTCCAAAATGCGCGCGAAATCCGGAAGTTCGCGATTCTCGGCCTTGCTTAATGAGACTGGCAAAAAAAAAAAAAATTGCGAAATTCCGGGTTTGAACAGACTATTGTTTCGTCAAGTTTTCTTTGAAAATGCATTTCAAACATTTCAGACTTTCAAATTAAGGGTGGATTTTTGCTGCATTGTCGGATAGTTCCCTGTTCGAAAATCCACCCTCAGAATCGCCAAAGTGCCATTTTGACCATACTTAGCTGAAAAAAAAAAGTTTCTGCCCTTTAGCCATAATACTTGGCTGTTAACCGAATCCTGTCATAAATACGAGAGACGTTCGAAAAAAGTTCCGGTCCGAGTTCTTCCAGTTGCCCTTCCAGTTGCCCTTCCAGTTGCCATGCACCCTTGGCAGTTTCCGCGAACAATTTTTTTTTTTCACA